CCCAAGTGAGTATTAAAAAGCGAACACCCTCGTATTGGATTAACTGACTCGTCGCAGAATGTGATTGGAATGAGTGTAGTGCAAGGTGATTATGATAAGCTGAAGCGGTTCAACTTGGCTGAGATCTATGACCCTTCGCCGAAAGAAGAGCCAGCAGCCACGACCAGTGAGCCTAAGGCTTAGTATCGATAACACAGTACTTTCCACACCAAGTCATGCCAATGGAATTTATTGTACATACTATCACTCATGATGCACTTATATTCCTCTTCACCGCTGGTTTCTAGTACCTTTCTTCTTCTACCTTCACCTCTTCTATTATCGCGATCAATTCGAAGGTATCTCATGAGTGTAGAAAGTAAGATAGGAGTGAAGTAAATAAATAGGAAATAAAGTGAGAGATACGAGTCCAACGCACTCTCCAGTCATGGCAGCCCACAAATAGGCATCGCAACCGTGAAAAAAATGGTATGCTTGCGAATTTTCGCTTATAACCTACCCTTTCAGGTAAACTTTCTCGTCAGTGTGTATCCATAGCCAACATTGAATAACTCAGAGTCATTTTGACTTCGTGTGTAGCGAGAGTGAATTTGGAACAGAAGCTATACGATATCTTGGGTGGGGTTTGTATCAAATGCATGATTTATGCAAATATCCCCTAAACGATTATGTTTACCGAGAAGTCCTCCACTTGATATTGTCAAGATCTGCATGCGTATTGATTCATCGACCATGTCCACCGAGGGGGAAGCATTGAAGACTAGGTTACGGGTAATGAGACATCCAAAAAAGCTGGGAAGACCCCTGTTTATATTATTTTATATATATTTTTAGGGTTTCTTTAAGTATTGTTCCATCGAAAAAAGAAATATTCTAGAAACATTGAAGTGATATAATTGGCTTTAGCTAAGCCTGAGGCGGATACGTATTTGACATGACATCAGCTACATCGGCGCTAAAATATACTACTTAACGTTGCATCTCGGTCTTTGCTACTCCGCACACCGTACGTATCACATCCCCAGTTAAATAGTTATATCAGAGGGGTCCACGCACGACTTTCATGCAGTCACGAGCCGTCCCGGAATACTGAGTTAGGTAATTGACAACCTAGTAAGTCCAAAGAATTAACTCCGAGCTATAATCGGGGATAAGCGTCTATTTCAGAAGATAGACTTGCATTTAGTAAAATCTCCGATGGCTTGCAGCAAGCGATAAGCCTAGTATCCTCCAAGCGAAATAATATGAGCTCGGGAAGGAACCGAGAGAAGAATAGACGTTCTATAAATTTTGATCCGTGGACGGCAAGAAATTCGGCAAGGGAGCATTTTGATTGGTTAGGGGTCCAGTGCTCGGATGATCACCTTTCTTAGAGCGGGATCCTTACGCGAGACGGCTTCACTTTAATTTACTTGAATTTATTTGTCCCATATTTCTTATTAATTGACCAATCTGATAACAGGGTCCTTGCACCCTCGCTTGTGAAATCGTTTCTGAGATTCTTTCAATTGGACTCAATCTGCCAACCTCGGATACTAAACTTCTCTTACGTATCTCGCCTGAATAAACCTAGAAAAGTCATGGCTTTGTCACGGTTCTATTACGGATGGAGTTTGGATGGCGGTCTGGTGTGGCCCCGTTGATATTCGAGCTTTACGGAGTACTCCGTATGGATTCTTACGCGAATTCCCTCTTCTAGAAGCGGGACTTGCGCCACGTCTAGGAGTATGCTTTTCAATTCAATCTATACCCTCGGCATATATCTGTTTCCATTCAACTTGCAGGGTTTATGAATCGTGACAGCCTTATTCATACATGATCAACATCCCCCCGGCAATATCTTTTCCCAGGTTCATGAGCGTAAGAGTCTCGCTTATATAGCATCATCTGTTCGCCAATATTCTCCCCGCCAAATAGATCACGATGCAACAACTCGATTTGACAAAATGGTCTGCCATGTCATCACTCAAGGGAACAACCGGCCACAGTGAATCTTTTTATCGACAGTCTCATGCCGCCGAGGCAGACGAACACCATAGACTAGACTATGTCCTCTCGCTGCTGTATCCTTCCACAGTCCGTGTGCAACACTCACATCCAATTTTCGGTCACATTCACTCGCTGCGGCTTCTGATGCTGTCGAATGGAGCTCATTTGTTGCTAAAGGGATCTCCATCATCCAGGACCGCTCTCCTTCGACGTGAGCGGTCATTCCTCGAAACCGAAGCCCAATTTCTTGCTCTCCTAGGGCAGAGTGCAAACCCTTGTATCCCCCAGCTCTATCATTACGACCCTCATGGAAGTCTCTGGGGATCTGCCTACTTGATCCGACAGTATATGAAAGGGAAGAGTCTGTCAGAGATGGAAGGAGAGCTCACCCCGGAGCAACGAGACGGTATCGATCGCCACTTGGGCTTCTTGGTGAGCACCATCGGTCAACATGCAGCCCCTGGGTTCGGGTCTTTGCAGCAAGTGGCATTTGGCGCTGGAAGACCCTCCTGGCGAGAGGCCTTCTGCGCCCTGTTTGAAGGTGTTCTTCGCGACGCCGAGGATATGTTCATCCACCTTCCTTACTCAGAAATCCGACACGAGCTAGGTCGTCTGGCACCTGCTCTTGGAGATGTATCGCTGCCACGTCTTGTGGTCGTGGACTTTGGTCGACCCTCCCATGTTTTGGTGAATGAAGAGTCTGGACAGCTGTCTGGAATTGTGGACTTTAGCAGTGCCCTGTGGGGTGATGTATTGATGGCTGAGATCTTCGCGAATGCATCCCCGGCGGTCTTGCAGGGAGCAGGGATGGCGGCGTCCAGGACAAAGGAGGAAAATATCCGGTTGGTCTTGTATGTGGAATCCGTCTACTGCATCATTCAAGTGCGATGTGCTAACTCTTTCCCTCCACAGGTATGCGTGCTATCGGCTGGTGTCCCAAATCACTGTGCAATATTACCGAAACCGAGATGAGACGAGCGAATTTGATGCGCGGAGACGATTGATAACCACCATTGCGGAGATGACGAGGCTTGAACTGGAATAACAGGGCAAGATGATTTGAATGGTTATATGTCCAACGTGATACCTAGATGGTCACCATTAGACTGGTTCTGTTGCATAGCGATTTTTCTTCGAGGCCCTGCATGTGATTTGGAGTTTTGTTCTTTTATTTTTATATTCATATATAGCGTTCTAACAAGGGATTCCAGTCAAAATAGAATTCGATTGTATCAATATGTTATAGAAGTACAAGACTGGGGAGAATACCTATATACTTGATTTCCTCTGCCACTTTTTGGTTTTCCCTTTCCGTTTTAGTGCTTAGGCTTTGCCGCTTTTTGCTCATTGAGTATAACTAGTGATACTATTTAGTTAGGCAAAAATTAGGGTTTCATTAGGGCCCTGGTATTAGGTCCGGGTTCCCATAATTTCCGTAATCATGTACACATTATGAGGTAACCCAACCACACCACTACCTCCTAGGTAGGTACCTATATAGACATCCAGGGCTCTTTTTCACATTTTAAGTCATCTGCTTCATCCTGGTTACTCTACTCATAATAGGAAAGCAAGGACACCTCGAAACAATGGCTGGGTCCAAACGTGTCAGAAATGGAAGGGACGTGGAAGGCTTCCTGGACGACCTGCCTCCTTCCACGAACAGATATACCTACGAAGGGAAAGAACAATTTGATGAAATCGCAAGACTTGAATATCACCGCCTAGAACACTCGTTACGCCATCTCCAGTCTGAACCACCTGAAAACTCTCTTGGCACATCAGAATACTTTGTTATAATCATCGACCCGCTAGCGTTCCAGAGAGATTTTTCCCGCAAGCTAAACGTTGGCGTTCGTCAGTTCTATAACCCGACACTTCACACATTGATTTTGAGAATGACTTTGCCCGAGCATGCTGAGGTTGCCGGGGTATTTCATGATGCAGTAATGGAAGCTTTGCTGCCCATGGGGCTCAACAAAGCGGCAGTCTTTAGATACGAAGGGGCAAGCATCAATGTCGGCGGCGGAAACACGAAAGAGCCGGATTGGGGCTGGGGCCCCAGGCGGCGCCCTCGTGGTGTTGCAAACCGGCCCTCGATAGTCCTGGAGGCTGGCCTTTCAGAACCCGAAACGAAATTGCGCAATGACGCAAGAATGTGGGTGGATCCCACCAGGGGGAAAGCAAACATGGCCATCACCATCAAAGTCAACCGCCGGAAGCCCATCATCACAATCCAGACGTGGGAATGGGATTCCGATTCCCAGCACCCCCATGTCACACAATCCTGTGTGATAGAGAAGACTGGCGACAATATCACCGCCTCGCAGCACGCTCTAGCCATCCCATTCAATCTGCTCCTCCTCCGACCTCCTTCCAGTCCTCGAGAGACTGATATCCGATTACAAAAGCAGGACCTTGTAGAGATTGGAACTGGGGTCTGGGAGATGCAAGGGCTGTGATTCTTATTGAGTAAATATTTCTGATATTAGAATTATTCGTTATCTTTACCCTTACAGTGGGCGTAAAAATTGTCCCTTTGCTATAATGATTGTTGTAGGTCAAGCTATACTTGCGGGTGTGGTAGCAAGTCTCAAATTACCTATGATGTCGACAGGATTAACGGAAAGTTCAATGCGTATTCACAACATGCTATATATTGAATTGAACCACCTGTTTGGATGTTGGATCCATGCATTTCATCTTTATATCTTATATAAGTTACGTTTTTCTATATATTTGTAGAGTTTCTAAGTCCTATAGGACCAAATTATGGGAGTTGGGGTCTATGTTGTACACAAAAGTAGGCATTCTATTTAATGAGAAAATCAGTTCCCATAGTCCACTAGGCGGGTATCAAAAAAGACCTGAAGAGAAAGGCCCCGTTGCCTTGGCAAGTTGGAACTGATAGGGCGATAGGGCGGAGCGGGGCATATCCGTTGTTTAGCTGCATGGCGTCAATGGTCTTCTCTCTCACTTCTACTTTTCCATAACCTGTTACTCTATCGCAGATGGCTCAGTTTCTGCGAGGAAAGCAAGCTGGTATCCAAAAGGACCTGTCCGAGGGCTTGTCCCCGGACTTGTTCCTCTTGGACGATGTAAGTTCTTGGCATCCCAGGCTTCCTCTTTTTACTGACACCGCTGTTCTCAGTTTGCACGATGTGGCGTCAATTCGCAGATTAGCGCTATCGCATACGACCCCGTACAATCCCTCATCGCGGTCGGCACTAGTGATACCCAGTTCGGAAGCGGGCAGATCTATGTCTTTGGACAACGACGGGTTTCGGTGGTCTTTGAGTTCCCGCGAAAGGCCTCCGCACGGTTCCTTCGGTTTTGCGCCGACAAGCTGGTCAGCATCGACTCCAGGAATGAAATTTGCATATACTCCTTGGCGACTGGACGCATGGTGGTTTCCTATGCGCCACCGGGCCAGGTGACTGCCATGTTAACAGACCCGTGCCTGGATTATGCGTTTATCGGCTTGCAGAATGGTCCGTAGATCGCGAGGAAGAAAAGGACTGAACACTGACCCGTGAATAGGTGAAATTATTGCGTACGACCTCGATCGAGAGTCCTTGACGCCATTCAGAGTTCCGAACTTGTGGTTGGAACGAAACCCCCGCGCACGTTTCTTCCCCGTCATATCTCTAGAGTTCTCTCCGCGAGATATTGGCAAGATCCTAGTGGGATATCCAGAGGGAGCGGTGACGTTTACATTCAAGCAGAATATTGCTCAAAAGTACTTTGTCTACGAGATCCCTCCTGGGGCACCGGGTGGAGACTCCCTACCAGCCCACGACGTGCGCAGACCCAAATTGACCAAAGCGATCTGGCACCCCAACGGAATCTTCGTTTTGACTGTCCATGAAGACTCCAGTTTAGTGCTCTGGGATACAAAGGATGGCCGTAAACTTCATGCCCGGACTGTCCAGACACCCAACGTCGACCAACCAGGTGGTGCTGGCAGACCAGGCTCACCTGGAGAGGCCCCTGGACCCAAAGAGCCGATCACAAAGGTTATTTGGTGCACCAAAGACAACCCGGATGAAACTGGTCTTTTGGTGGCTGGTGGTCGACCAGCAGGTGACCAGACCAAGGGTCTCGTTTTCCTGGACATGGGCCCAACCCCCAACTACCAGACGTCTTCCTGGCAAATCTTGTCTACTTACTTCGAGCGGCCACGGCGACAATTAAGCCTCTCAGTGCCACCGGGAGCTAATGTTGTCGACCTTTGCCTCATCCCCCGATCCTCGCCCTACTTCAATGGCGCCCATGATCCAATCGCACTTATCGCTATGCTATCCTCGGGTGAAATTATCACCCTGAGTTTCCCTAGCGGACACGCAATCACCCCCACTAACATGCTTCACCCATTCCTCACTTTTGTTCATCCCTTTGTAAACAAAGCTGTGCTTACTCCCGTTGATCGGTCGGTATGGCTTGGTCTGAAAGAGCGCCGGTTGCAGGGACCCAAATTTGCGATGGGCGGTGTAGAAGCGAAGAACCCTCTCAAGCGCTTTGAGAACCGCAATGTTATTTCGACTGCACACGCAGATGGAACAGTCCGCGTCTGGGACTCTGGGCACGATGATGAAATTGAGAACGGCGACGTGGTTCAAGTTGATCTTGCCCGTGCCATAGGCCGAGTCAGCAATATCGAAGTGACTGAAATGTCTCTCGCCAGCGGGTCAGGCGAGATGTCTATTGGACTCAAGTCCGGAGAGGTTGTTGTCTTCCGATGGGGCAACAACTCCTCATACGGGCGTGAGGAGTCTCCTGGTGCCAACCAAGGGCCAGGCAAGCTGACACCAATAACTAAGCGAACAGACCCTGGTCTCAAGACGGGAATGCTACCTCTGACTCTCTTGGATATGCAACAAGGTCCGGTGACGGCGTTGAAGCATGGGCTGGTTGGATTTGTAGCAGCCGGTTACCAAGGTGGTGCTTTGGTGATTATTGACCTGCGCGGGCCCGCCATCATACATACCGCACATTTGCCAGAACTCCTTAAGGTACAGAAGCGAGGTGGTTTCCTCAAGAACCGTGGCTCTGATGAAGTCCATCCAGAATGGGCCACCCAGATCGAATTTGGTGTTATGACTTTGGACGGCGAAGGTATCGTTCCCTCGGCTAACGAATCAGGCCAATGTACTAACCGTGTTCTAGACTACTCAAGCATTTGCTGCTTCGTCGGCACAAATAGGGGCAATGTGGCAACATTCAAGATCCTTCCTGGTGTCAATGGCACATACGAAGCCGCCTTTGTTGGATCATCGGCCGTTGAAGATAAAGTTATCAGTGTCATTCCCATTGATGCGGAATCTGGTGGTCTTGCTTTGGCTACACCAAGTGCAGTCGGAGGCTTGAGGACTGGTGCGAAAATTAATGGTGTCGTCATTGCCGTGACTGCCTCTGGCTGTCGAATCTTCAAGCCCCCAGCATCAAAGGGTGCCCACAAGTCATGGGACGACTATTTCTGCGACTCGGCAGCTGTCGTCAAGACTGAAGGGCGAGGTTACAGCCTGGTTGGCCTCTTCGGTGACGGCCACGCGCGAGCATTCTCGATCCCCGGTCTTCGAGATATTGGTCGCACCAAAATTAGCCATATTGCGGACATGCGACGCCTCTCGGAATCTTGCATCACCCCTACTGGAAATATCATGACATGGGTCGGCCCTTCAGAGATCGGAATGTTCAATGTCTGGGGAGGTGGAAACGGACTGTATGCGCCCCCCACCAATTCGCTGAATAGCGGTCCCAATGCTGACCCTGCCCACAGACACGCTTCAAATGACAAGCTTTACAACCCAGAAGCAGTGGTTCCCACGCGTCCTACCATCACGAACGTCCAATGGATTTCCGGTACACAATATATTTCGCCGGCTGACATGGACATTCTGAGTACGTCACCCCCTCCTTCTACTTAATTTTAACTAGAATCTAACATCAAATCTAGTCGGCGGCCCAGAACGACCACCATCAAAGCGGATGGTCGAACAAATGAAATTCGAAGAGCAAGAACGTCGAAAAGCCCTAAAAGAAGGACGAACCCCACCGATATCTGAACAGGGTAGCAGCCAGGAAGGCTACTGGTCTTACATGTCACGTCAAGTCCAAGAACGCACAGAGCGTCTTGGTATTGTCGGAGATAGCATGGACAGACTAGAGGAGAACAGCAGCGGCTTTGCTAACGACGTTAACAAATACGTACAGTCACAAAAGAAGAAAGCTGTCCTTGGCGGTAAGTCGATCTTCTTCAGGTTCACTCATATGTAGTGTTCCGCCCCCTTGCATAACTGTCGCTGACCGGTCTTTGATAACAGTGCTTGGCTCGAAGTTTGGCTTTTAGGCGATATCTCCTACCGAGTACGAGGGTTTTAAAATGGCTTAACCATACATGGGAGTTTTTGCTTTATTTTTCCGGCGTCAGGTTTTAGGTCATGTCTGGGATGCAGGTGACAGATCACTTTGCAATTTCACCCACCTCTTCTTGATTCCCTAGGTCGGATCTACCTTGATCGTGGAATTGTAGGTATTATAGGGCCTCGAAAGGATAATCTCCTTACACCTTGCCTAGGTAGAGTAGAACCTGTTTGACATGCATCGATGCCCCGGTAAACATCTGGGAGTCAGTTTGATGTGGCACAAAAACGGCTTCGCAGCTGTTTCTATTACATGTTTAGGCGAAAGAAGTTTGAACGGCCGACTGAAGGGCAGTGGGATTTAAAATGATACCAATTCTATTTCATAGACCTATAGTCAATAGGGTAAGAACATGGAAAATCAGTCAAAGGGTCGTAAACGTTGCGTTCTGGCTGTCGTTAAATAACATTCAAAAAAGGAAGAGTTAAAAAGCAAATAAACCACACCTACGAGTCAGTAGCACACCATGATCTAGTGTACCATGACCTCAGGCTGGGGCTGGTGAGTTGGCTTGGCAGCATCGTCCTTGTGTTCTGTGTCATCGCCCATCTCGACATCATCGTCACCATCACCACCCTCTTCCTCGTCAAGGTCATCCTCATCGTCGTCACTCTCCGCCTCAAGATCTTCACTCTCGGCATCGGAGATCTCTTCTTCATCATCCTCCTTGCCAGCAGGAGCCTCAGTGCCTTCCATCTCATGGTCATCGCCCTCGGCGGGCTTGTTGGTATCCTCGAGCTCCTTGAGCAGCGCAGCCTCGAGCTCACGCTCCTCAGCACCGTACGCTCCACTGTCATCATCGAGACCATCGGCCTCAGGCTGGTCAGGCGGGTACTCTGCGGGGGCAGAGTCATCAGAGTCCCTATGGAGGAAAAAAAGGTAAACAAAAGTCCCACTAGGTATGTAAACAAACAAAACAAGGGATCTCACCATTTGATGGCGAAGCGGGTCACTCGAGGCTTCTCGGCGAGGACATTGCGGCGAATACGTTCAATAACGGGCTTCGCAGGGGGCTCGGCTGCCAGCTCTTCACTGTCATACTCGTTGTTCACGTAGTAGCCAACCCGGACGAACTCTCGGCCGTCGTAGCTGCAGGTGAGCAGGATGACGGTGACGCCGAGCATCTCGGAAGTGGGAATGCGCTTGACATCAGGTGCGTCGGCCTCGAAGATGAACTTGTTCACTCCGACCGGGATGGGTCCAACGAGGAGGGAATCGAGTTCTTGGTCATACTCGGAGCTGTGAAAGTTAGCCTCTGCAGGATTGGTAGGAAACAGTGAGTATTGGGAGGGTCGACGTACGAAGTGGCGGATCCGACATAGGTGAGTTTCCATTCCAAATCTGAAAGAACGTGTTAGAAGACTCGACTGGAAATATGGGAGAACAACCCAATGCTCACCCTTCTGGAGCTGCTCGAGGCACTCGAAGGTGATTTCGAATTGGTAAGAGGCGGTGAAAGGAGCCGGGTTGTTGAGGTTTTTCACTCCGAGGAGTGAGACGACGGACATTGTGATAAGATAGAGTATGTACGGAGGATTAAATAGATGAAGAGGTAAAAGTGGAAGATTGTATGAACAAGGAAGAAGGAGAAATTAGAAAAAGTAAGAGAAATCAACAGGTCCACAAGAATGCAGTTTACTCTCAACCCCTCTAGCTCAATGCGAGGAGCCCATCGATCGACGCGCCTTTCGCGTCCCTCGCATTTGTCCTCACCGCCCGCACGTGACCTCAATTTCACTACCCGGGCAACCTGCATCAGCTTTGCTCTTCTCCATCTGAGCTATTTGCTATCAGATACATTGCGGCTGAGGGTTATCTCGTCAAAAGTGGCTGTGTTCCACCTTAACCCTTGACCCTCGGAAGATTTGTCTTCATTTTACATCCGATATCACACCGCGCAAACCCTGCTTCGGCTTGCGCCTGCACTTTTGACTTTCCTAGCTACTTTTCTTTGACTTTGCGGTTATCGCATTTATCCTCCCACCATGGCGGACGATGAAGCCGAAACTGCCTTCTTCCAGGCTCAAGCCTTGAATACCGATTCCCAATCCCCCACTGAGGAGCAGGAAGGTGATAACTCAGACGCAGAATCAGATGACTATGACCCCTCACTGGCATTGGGGGATCAGTACTCAGCCTCCTTTCCCGAGTCCAAGCAGCCTGATGCTGGCCCCACTGAAGCATCTCCCTCGGATGAAATCGAAGATGCCGTCCCCAACCCGACCGTCGCCTCAGACGCAGATGTCGCCTCAGACGTAGACGCAGACGCTGGCCAGACCAGTGACTCCCCCGACCCTTCTCAGAACGCCTCACGTGCTGAGTCGTCGACCCCCGTGCCAGCATCTGCTGCTGAGACACAGCCCAAGGCCAGAACAATTGGGGGATTTGAAGTTGATGATGATGAGGATGACGAGGGTGATGCGGAGTATGAGCCGCCGGCTGTACTTGGGGGTGAAGATGCCAATGCTATGCCTGTGACCATGTCTGAAGATCCCAGCTCAGGAAATGCAATGCAAAACACTTCCCCTGATGTATCATCACACCAAGCTGAGCAGGGACCTGCCAGTGGATCAGATGTTGCCAATAGTTCTTATTCTCCTGTTCCTGTTCCTAATATTGATCCCTCTTCTGTTCCTGGCCAATCGCACTGGGCTGCGCAAGACTTGCAATCCGCACCCATGCAGAACAGTTCTGTTCCTACTTCTGTACCTGATTCTCCTGCCTCGAAGGGTCGTCTGGCCCATGACCGTGTGGGCATGCTGGAAGACCGGATTCGAGAGGATCCCCGAGGTGATATCCCTGCTTGGTTGGAGTTAATTGCCGAGCACAGAGGCCGCAGCAGACTAGACAGCGCACGAGACACCTATGAGCGGTTCTTGAAGCTGTTCCCCATGGCGGTAAGCCTAACTTTGCTCCCTTCCTTTGTGCTTTCTTTTCTCTATCGGCAAGGTACAAGATTGCTAATGAGATATATCTCAGGCCGATCAATGGGTGGCTTATGCCAGCATGGAGTCTGAGCTCAATGAATTCTTCCGCTTGGAGCAGATCTTCAACCGAACTCTCCTGGCGACCCCCAGCGTTCAGCTCTGGTCTGTCTACCTTGATTACATCCGTCGTCGTAATCCCTTGACAACAGATGAGGCAAGAAAGACCATTTCATCGGCATATGATATGGCCATTCAATATGTCGGGATGGACAAGGATTCCGGAAATATCTGGACAGACTACATTGAGTTCATCCGTTCTGGGCCAGGCGTCGTCGGTGGATCTGGGTGGCAGGATCAACAAAAGATGGACCTACTGCGAAAGGCCTACCAACGAGCCATTGGCGTGCCGACTCAAGCCGTCAATACGCTCTGGAAGGAGTATGATCAATTCGAGATGAATCTAAACAAGCTCACGGTAAGCTGGACAGTACTTGAATCCAACTAGCTTATCCTAATATTTTCTATCAGGGCCGCAAATTCCTTCAAGAACATTCGCCATCCTACATGACTGCGCGCAGCTCATACACCGAATTGCAAAACATCACGCGCGATCTGATTCGCACTTCGCTTCCACCGATGCCTCCTGTTCCGGGTTCTGAAGGTGACGTTGAATTCTCGGCACAAGTAGATATCTGGAAGCGCTGGATCGCATGGGAAAAAGAAGATCCTCTGGTACTGAAAGAGGAAGACCCTGCTGCTTACAAGTCACGCGTGGTGTACTTCTACAAACAAGCACTCATGGCACTGACCTTCTTGCCCGAAATGTGGTTTGATGCAGCTGAGTTCTGCTTCTTGAACGACATGGAGGATGCTGGCACCGAGTTCTTGAAAAATGGAATTGATGCAAACCCAGAGAGTTGTCTGCTGACATTCAAACGCGCGGACCGACTGGAGGTTACCTCGGATTCGGAACAGGATTCCGCCAAGCGCGCTGCCAAAGTCCGGGAACCATATGACAAGTTGCTTAATGCACTTTACGAGTTGATCAATAAAGCTCGCGACCAGGAAACCCAGGATGTTTCACGCATTGAAGCTTATTTCACTCCACAAAATGTCGAAAGTCAACCTCAAAATGAGGATGAAGAGGATCCTGAAGCCAAAGAAAGAGAAGCCGCCAAGATGGCACAGATTGATGCGGTCCGGAAGGCCCATTCTGTTCAGATCAACATTATCTCCAAGACCGTCTCCTTCGCATGGATCTCTCTCATGCGTTCGATGCGTCGAATCCAAGGCAAGGGAAAGCCAGGAGAGGTGGCTGGTTCTCGCCAAATCTTTGCCGAAGCCCGGAAACGAGGCCGGATTACCAGCGATGTTTATATCGCGAGTGCTCTGATGGAGTATCATTGCTACAAAGACCCTGCGGCCACCAAGATCTTCGAGAGAGGTGCAAAATTATTCCCAGAGGATGAGCACTTTGCGCTCGAATACTTGAGACATCTGCTCGACATTAATGATACCATCAGTAAGTCGACCATCCCATATTTCTCTGAGAGACTTGCTAACCACCACAAAAGATGCCAGAGCCGTGTTTGAGACAACCGTCAGGAAATTGACATCCAACCCGGAGAATGTGCACAAGGCTAAGCCCATCTTTTCCTTCCTCCACGAGTATGAATCTCGCTATGGTGACCTCACCCAAGTGATCAACTTGGAGAACCGCATGCGCGAACTATACCCGGAGGATCCTGCTCTGGACCAATTCGCCAACCGTTACTCCGACTCCACCTTTGATCCTACATCGGTGCAACTGATCTTGTCACCATCCCAGACACGGCCAAAGACCAACATGGCAGGAATCTCTGCGGAATCCCACGGTTCTCCCATGGCCAGATATATGGATACTTCTCTCAATTCACCTAAGAGACCCTACCCCACTGATGATTATGACGAAGACTCCGGTCGCCCACGAAAGTTTGTTCGCGCTGAGTCGCCAATGAAGAGCGCGCAAGCTCGGCGTCTCGACCAGCCGAAACGAGTACAACAGTTGAACGGCCAAAACACCTCATACAGACCCCAAGGATCCCCAGCCCCTCTCCCTCGTGAAGTGGTGAACCTCTTGAGCATCCTGCCTTCTGCGGCTGCCTACAACATCACCCGCCTTTCCCCCGAAAAAACCATAGACCTTCTTCGTCACGTTGAGATTCCTTCCGACATCTCCCAAATACAGATCCCGCAAGCTGCACATGGACCAGGCGGAGGCCAAACCCCGGGAATGAACCCTTACGGTGGCTACCGTTGAGCCCGTGGTTGTTCGTTTCCCTCTGAGGACCACCATTATTCCACTTGCAGTGTAAAATCCCTTGCTCTCTGCTTTTGCAATTCATTTCCCCGGCGCGCAAAATATCCCGATTTGTCTTTGAGAACTTGATGGCTCAGCTCTTTTTTTCCTGGGGGTATTTCATGAAAACATGGTCGGGGCATACGCGGTTCAGAGCCCTCTTTGCATCTTCCATCGGCGTTGATCTATCTGGCATTTTTTTTATTATCTTTTTTTCGAATAGGGCCACTGGCCACCAATATTTGCTTGCTGGTTGGGCCGCTCCAACCATACTTTGTACAGAGCCAAATAAGCAGATAATCTCAAATAAATTAACCAAGCACTCTACGCACTCAATTTGTAGATTCTTGACTTTCTAGGTAATGAGTTCATTCTGGAGTAAATGAGACCCATGTACTCCTTTGACCATAGTTCTTATATCCATATGGCTGCATCCAGAGGGGACAGGACACATGCCTGGAGGCTCTATAAACGACTTTAACTATAAGGTTAAACCCAAGGCTTCCATAAGTGGGGCATATACGGAAACAGGGGTAGTGGGGCCCTACGTCATTGTATATGTAGGAAATGTCCTTTATCTTACATTGCATAGCTATCTCGTGTGGATGATGGACTGCGTTACATGCTCTCTAAAAATTTGAGATACTCTCAGGTGTGGGGATTCTGCTAGGGTAGGTTGGGCCTGACTGCCGATCGATATTCTTGGAAGGGATGCAGCGGTTTCTATTCTAAAGCAATTTCCAATCCATCACACTTGCCCTAAGATCTGGCGATATGGGAATAATTCTGATTGTTGCCTCAATTCGAATCCACAGACCCGACTATGCATCGTATTCCAGGCTGTGCTCCATGACACCCCGACTCAAAGTGCCCTCAGCCGTTTCGAGGGCTCCCCGTCGGGATACTGTTCTTGATGGAAGTCGATCACACATCCATGGGGGTTATCTCTGAGATTCCCATCACAGCAGCTAAACGTAAAGCACTCTGGAAAGTCCTCGCGCATTTCATCGGTGTCCACGTCAAACTCATCCCAATTGTCCTCATAAAGCTCGTCGCCAGTGGGCTCATTTTTGTCTATCATAAGATTAGCATATTGCGCATACCGAATCGCGGCCTCGCAGTCATACTGGGATGGTATCGACAGGTTTTCTCCGTGTTGGTCGTGACATCGAATTCCTTCTCGCAATTGACACAAAACGCGTAGCGTGAGACTAGTCTCTTATTGCTGTCGGAGTTCGCTTTGGAATCGGTGGTCATCGCTAGCAGTTGATGCTCGGCTTCTTTGCGGGCTTCATCGTTTTTCGCGCAGATGGATTTGAGAACCGCGCGTACAGTTTGATCGGACGTGTCGTTGATCGCGCGATCGAGGACCGAGGCCTCAAGCACTTCGTTTGCAACTGGCATGATGGTCTGTCTTATGTTGGTTGAGTTCGTGGGTGCCAGCTCGGGTAGACTCCCTCAATTGAGTTACTTAGTCGGGAAGACACCTGGTTTTTTTTATCTTCGGTTCGTTGATTTCCTATCTATTATTGAAGAACATGATTTTGGATAAATTCCAAACATAATTATCTTTTGTATGGAAATCCGATATAAAAGGTACCTCAAGAGATTTGCAATTAGGGTGCTGTCTATTCCTGACATTCTCCTTAACCTTCCATCAATCGCCTGTGATTCGCGCTTAGGGTTCACCCGTAATATTGCGGTCCCCGTCAATCCCAGGCTCGGGCCCATCTTTTTTTGCTTTTATCCATTATACCTATTACGACAGGGATCTGGTCTATTCCAACATTCTTTTTAGGTCCAGTCGACGAAGTCAACCCAACATATATTTCGCTTTCTTTGGTGTTGAACGCGTTGGTCTAGTCGACGTCTGGCCCAAGCATAGGAACTTCTACTGATCATTAAGCTGCCAAAGCCAACGTCTTAGTTTTCTATTCAGATATGAGATTGCAGCCTAGCATGCGGAATAGTAGGGATGTATATCAAAAGACTTGCAACCCGAGAAAAGGGAAAAGACCACTGGAGCATATCATCGAAAATTTCGGGAGTAGGAACCCGAACTGATATTTACACTACATGCCCACCGTCGTTTGACGTACCAGCTGGATTCTTGCATCCCCAAGCTGTCTTGTAACAATCCGCTCTAGATTACATACCCGGACCCTACTGTAGGGTACATAGACCCAATCATTAAATCCAGGTCATTTTATTTTTGACTTTGTAAACCAATATATTGGTTTAACCTAACCATATAATGCGAAACCGCGACCGAAGTGAGCACTGGGTATCAAAAATGCTAGAGTCGAATTATATAGAAGAGTTTATCTATTTCTCACTTTGATCGCACTTTGGTCGCACTTTCGTCGCACTTCATATTTGAAAGCCTGCTCCTTGCTCAAAGTAGATCACGTCTGCCCGGAAGCACAACCCTTATCGAACCTGAATAGTATGATTTCATGTATGTACTGCTTTATGGACAATGGCGAGGCGATGCCAAACTGCAACACAAGCAAGGGGGCTCTATATAGAATCAAATTGAAAGATATAAAAGTATGTATAAGCCCGGGAAACTACTGATATGTCTATCCTCCGTTTGCCGACGAAGTTGACAGCTAAGCAGACTCAATCGGGGCGTTGTATAGAGTAGAATTAGTCCGTTTACTCCACGTTTTCATTCCGACTGGCTGTTTGCTCTTTACCCGGGAGGGCATGCCCTTTCGTCAACCTTTATCTGACTTACTAGCCAATCGCCTAGGCTAGATACTACCCATACAATTTCGTCATGCAGAGCACTGCCATCAAAGTATGGAATTCCATTTCCATGACAAATTTACCTACATATGGGGCACCATAGTAAAACGGTGACAATGATTTAGATCACTCGTTATACCTAATTATTATTCAATGAGCACGGGATATTTAACGGAGAGAGTGTATAATAGATCTAATACCTAATTTTAACTTGAAAATATTTAAACAACACGCCGTCGTGTAAATTTGGTGAGAAACCTAGAGGTGAATATTGGTATTTTTATTGTCAATGTGTATAGTGGACATGGGTTGTCAACAGATGTTTGACTTTTGACACCACGTGAATGTCTTCGGATCTCAACTGAAAGTGCGAGATATCTCAGAGCTGGGATACATAATATTCCTGGGCAGACCGTTATATACTCAATTATGTTCAGCTCACATAGGTCGGACTTGGCGTTATATATGATAGTTTATTGGTTTTTAGTAATCGTTTCACACCAGCCAGGCGGAGCACCGTAGTATAAGTAGGTAGGTATCCCAAAGGGGGCTGTTAGAGTGGCTAGTGACGTGCTGATCTAATTAGGACCCTTTGGCACTACCTAGGTAGTTATTAGAGTAGAGTGTCTCCCATAAGTGCGTTATGCGTGCCACTCTATACACAGGATGTAGCTCTTGTATATCTAAACTGAAAGTGCGAGATATCCGAGTGTCGGGGTACATAATATTACTAGGTAGTCCCTAGTATTGACAAGTACCTAACCCTCACATAGGTAGGACTTTGACTAGTATTAAAAAGGCAACTACACACCCTTCACGGCGCCTTCCCTATGCGGCACTTCTACACTCTACTTTACCTATAAAAGGCCTTCCCTCGTTTTCTTTCCTTCTTCCTTCTCTCTTCATTACCTTTGACCTTGCTTGTCTTGAGCACTTCGGGTCCCTGCAGCTACCTGCATACTCATACGCTGAAGACATTCATCAATTTGACGTTAAACGCGTCTACCTTGCTGTGTGATCACCCCGATATCCTTTTTACGCCGTCACCTTTGGCTCAGTCAAGACTTCGACTCTGTAAGTGATACTTCCTATACTGCTTGCCCTCCCCCGAGTTAAAGCGAAGCGGAAACGAATGGTGTCCGCTTCACTTTATGTCGCTAAGCAGTACTACTACTCTGCTGTCACAAGAACCTCAGTTTGTTTCATCTGTCTTACTTTATGATTTTGCATCTGTCTAATGAACTAAAAGGAACCGAAAGAAGTAAAAAAAAGCCTTGACTAACCAGTGGGGATTTAATAGGAGCGTCAATCCACCATGGCTCCGAAAAAGGCCATGAAACCCCCAACTGAGGATGATGAGGAGCGTAGGGCTCGCTCTGACCACCGCTATGCATCATCGAAGCCTCAATCGACCCCCACATCTGCTTCTGCTACGAAGTCTTCTTCAAAGCCTCCTCACTCCTCTTCATCCTCTCGTCAACCCAAGCTCAGCCTTGAGCTCCCCCTACGTCCTTCTGCCTCTGTGGCAAAGCCTCTGGATCCACGCCAGGTTAAAGAGCTGCGCGACCACAAGGCAAAATTGGAAGATGAAGCCAAGCGCAAAAAAGAAGCAGAAAGTACTGCTTGGATGCGCCGAACCAGATATGATCCCAACGCGACCGAACAGCGAAAGCCTAAGAGCACTGGCTCCAGTAGCAGTGACTCTCCCATCCGTCGAGTTGAGACACCTCCGGAATTTCCGCCCAACTGGACCGCGGAAGAAAAGGCCAACTATGAACGCCTTGCAAGAGAAGGCGTGAAAGTGGCAGTTTTTGAGCAACACAGACTCGACCAAGAAAACGTTGTCCGACACCAAGACTACATGACAGTTGCCTGGGATGGCTGCAAGAATATTGACATTCCCTGGCACCGATTCAAAGTCAGGCCTTCTTCTGTAAGTTTGCGACTGATGATTCACAATGACACTGCATTTTTGCTGACCCTTTTCTTCTCCTAGGCTGCCCCAGAAGAGACTCAAATTCAGCGCCGTGTTGGCTACAACTCCTCCGGCAAAGAGATCGAGGTTATGATGAACGCATACCCGATCACTTCATTCCCAGACAAAGCCGTTTATCAGTACGAGGTGAGTGTTTTAGCCCCCGGTCAATGCCACTATTCGCTCATCCATCACTAGATCAATATTCTCCACGGAGACCAAAACGAGACCGACAGACGTGTCCTCAGAAAATGCTGGAACAGTGAGACCCGAAAGGCACACATTCCTGATGGTATCTGGGATGGTGGCAGAATTTGCTGGTAAGGATATAATCTTTCTGTTTGCTGCTATATGTTTCCTAATATGTGTTATTGCAGGTCGCTGCGCAACTTTGATGACTGGAATGAGGTTATCGACATCAAGGGCGACTTGACCCGAGACATCAAGACTCTTGCTACTGTCGATGAGTTCAGAAGGAACCCTGCTTTCAGAATGTCCGTCATTCAAAAGCGAAAGATCAATCTGTCCGTGATCAACTCCTGGCTGCAAACCCGCCGTGATCTAGATCAACTCGTGATTGAATCTCTGAGTAAGTGCCCCCTTATTTCGCGTATTCCTCTGTTTTCGATTCATCAGGCTGATAATGACAGGCTTCCTTGACCATTTGCTCCGTGAATGGCCCACCAAACAGTTTGCTGCAATCAAGCGGGCCTTTTTCTTCGACAAGCTTGGAGATGACGAGGAGCTGAAGCAGGAGTTTTACCAGCCGCTCGCCAATATGGGTGCTTCCGTTTACCGAGGTATCTACCAAGCAATCAAGCCGACTCCTGTAAGACCCCATTTGCTGATTCAAATCAATAATTAGAAAGCTGACGTTGAATTATAGCAAGGTCTGATCCTCAACGTTGATGTCGCTCACTGCGTCTTCTTCTCTCGTATCAGTCTTATGGGATATATGATGAATGTGAACGGCTGGAACGATAAGTCGACCCTGGTGAAGAATCTCCAGTCAACTCGCGACGAGTATGGTGGTACAAAGGAATCAAAGTGGTTCGCACAGGTGAACAAGAAAATCCAGGGTCTTCGAGTGGCACCCAACTACGAGGGTTGCCCTTTCAAGATGAAGAGTTTCATTGTCAAGGGCCTGATTCATGCAAAGCCAAAAGAATTCTTCATCGACTACTACGACAAGGCCACTGGGAAATCGACTCGAATTCACCTCGAAGAATACTTTATGAAACGGTACAACATCCGGCTTGAATATCCCAATATGCTCTTGGTCGAGATGCAAAAGGAAGATGTCCATTACCCAGCCGAGTTCTTGGTCATCAAAGGCCTTCAGAGATACCGCTACAAGCTTACCGATGTGCAGGCAGCACAGATGATTCAATGGTGTGCAACCAGGCCTCCGAAACGTTTGGCCAATGCTCGCCAGTCCAAGGAACTTCTCCAGCACAAGAATGATCCGATTCTAAAGCTTTACGGCATGAAGATCAGTGAACAAATGATCAAGACAAAGGCTCGCCTACTCCCAAGCCCCGAGATTCAATTTGGAGGCAACCGCAAACACAACCCTCAGCATTCGGGAAGTTGGGATCTTCGCGGTAAGAAGTTTTACAAACCCAATGAAAAGGCCCTTCAGGCTTGGGGTGTCGGGTTCTTTTCCGGACATCGAAAG